GGACTATAAGTGCCTAAAACACATCTGTGTTTTAGACACTTGTACATTCGCAAATGAAAGGGCAAAATCGCAGATGTGTTTAATCCATCTGCGACTTTAAGGGCTATTTTCGTAATTTTAGTTTTTTTTTAAGTAATTTTCCACAAAATAATTAATGTATTTGACTAAATTTATAATTTTCTCAAAAAATTAAATTAAATAACTAATTATGAAAAAAACATAGAACTTCAAAAAAAATCCAAAAAACAGTTCATTTGAATAAAAAATTTATTATTAATATAATATTGAGACAAAAAAAATCGAGTAATTAAAAAGTGAAACCGGAGAGTCAAAATCTGGTTTGTAGCTCCTACCATGGCACGTAGGGAAGAGATCTAATTAGATTTGGCCGCCAAAACTGGATACCAATTCGCAGGATTTCTTGCGATTCACTCGATTCAATGGAGGAATTTCCTCCTCTTTCAAGCGTGCGTCTGTTGGTCAATCATATTTCCACACAATTTCTTTCTCTTAACAAATTCGTGTACAATTGGGAGGAACCCTGTTTCCCCCCTTCTCTACTTTTCCATGGATTCGAAAACCTCTTGGGACTCCTTGCGAAAACAGGTTCGTTTTTTATTATTAATTTCAACATTGTTATGTCCTGCTGCTCCTGTGTTAGATTGTTATGTTCCCCAATTCGGTCTGCAGTTGCTTCCTCCTTTTGAGAATTGTTTAGTCAAACGGAATGTCGGAAATAACTAGGGTTTTTAAAATGTGAATCGATGAAGATTCAATGTTGATCTAAATCAATTCATTTTGAGTATTGATGTGTGCAAATGTGGTTCCACTTTTAGTTCGAATTGATATGAAAGTTTTGACATTTAAATTGATGTTAGGGCAAAGATTTTCTTGAGAAACGAGATGATTTCAATTATGATTAAAATGCTTGTTGATTTGGTGATATCGGTATAGGCAAGGAAGCTTGAAGCACAATTGGATGATCAAATACACGTGTATCGTAAATTAGTTTCTACAAAAGTTGATCATAATAATGAGAACAATCTTGGATCTAGAATAGAACAACTATTAAAAGAATTGCAACAAGTAATTTCGTTAATGCAATCTTGGCTTTCAACTGGAGGACCAGAAATATTTTCTCATACATTGACACGTCATCAAGAAATTCATCATGATCTTACTAAGGTAAAAATTCTATAGTAAAATATGAAAGAATAGTTCACTTTGTGCTCATTGATTTTCATATTATAGCATATTACTTTTATTTCTTCATATTACAACATTATATTTTCTTTTCTTTTCATTTTTTTTTTTAAATCCACCCAATGGTTTAATAAGAAAAAAAATTCGAAATGCAATGTTTTTTTTTTTTTGAAAGAGACAATCGAAATGCAATGTTGTAATAGAAAGAAGTAAAAGTATGATGCTATAATAAGGATAAAATATATAAAAGCCACTATAATTCAGATTCGTCAATGAAAGCCACCCAAGTTTGACAAATATTTTATGCCGATCACTTAGACCTGTTATACCAGGTTAAAGCGGTTACAATAGAAATTCTTGTCAAATTCAGCGGCTTTAGTGAAAAATTTGACACAAAATCTTCCACTAAAGCCACTAAACTTTGACGAAAAATTTCTATCGTAACCACTCTAACCTGCTATAGTAGGTTATAGCAGGTTAAAGTGGTTGACATAGAAAAATTGTCAAAACTTGGGTGTCTTTTATTGAAGAAACTAAAATACAATAATTAAACATCAAAAGCACCCAAAGTATAAGGGATTTTTTTTGAATTTACTCCTATAATAAACAAATAAATGAAAGTATGATTGCTATTTCTTGCATTTAACCTTTGTTTCTATACTCGCTTGATTATAGGAGTTCAGTCAACTGCGATCTAGCCTAAAAGCAAAGAGAGACCACGCGTCACTGCTTGAAGATTTTAGAGAATTTGAGAAATCAAGATTAGTCTCAGAAGATGATGGTGGGTCCCAAGACCAATCTTTCCTTAAGGAACGCGGTACTCTCATGAGAAATACACGACAGGTGTGTAGGAAGTACGAACCAATATACTTATATAATTCTTTACTCATAATAGCAACATACTTACAGTATTCACCAATGATATAATAATATTTAACACATAATAGGAGTGTGTTTTACTTTTTTTTTTTTTTTTTTTTTTTTTAATAATCTACATGGACAATGTGAATGTAGATGGAAGGTGTAATATCTCAAGCACAAGAAACCCTAGGGACACTTGTGTTTCAAAGATCAACATTTGGGGGAATTGGTTCTAAGATTGGCAATGTCAAGAGTCGCCTCCCAACAGTAAGTGAGTATTTGAACTTTTTTTATTATTATTTAAAATCCATTCTATAACTTGTATATTAATCGTTTAAAGTAATTTTAAATTGTTGCATTAATATAAAACCTAAATTGTATGGTTTTGTGGTTTTATAGGTAAACAATATTATATCGACAATAAAGAAGAGAAAATCAATGGAGACGATTATCCTTTCCATGGTTGCCTCATGTTGTACATTTCTGATTTGGATTTATTGGTTGACAAAATAGTTAAGTTATTGGTAGAACAGTGGAAAGAAAAAAAAAATGTATTGTTTGTCCATTACATAGAAATGAAGTACAAGATTCCTCATGAAATTCAAGACATTTATTACTCTAGTTACATTTTTGTTTCATTATGTGAAAAAGTGTTGCATATTCAACTTGTTTACTTGTTTGACCTTTTGACTTTTAATCGCTGAATAATATTCCTCATGGCGACTAATTTATTTCTTGGCTGTGTAGTTGCTAAAGAGCTATGACACAAAATGGGGATAAAGGCCCTAATATTGTGCCAATTTTGTATAAAAAAGTTCCCAAAAATATGTCCAAATACCCAATAACAATAAATATAAAAATAAAACCAGTTCAATACACGTCAAACACAGTTAAAAAACATCCTGTTCTGTTATGTCCAATATAACACCATGTAAACTACACCACATTTAGGATTTAAATAAAAAAGTATATTAGTAAAATCCTCGAACAAAAAAAAAAAATTCATGCTTATGCAAATAGATAACAAGAACAGGATAAAAATGGCCCGAACTTCTTGCATTGAAGAGAGCCAATCTATCACACCATACACATGTAAAAATGCTTTTGGTAATACTAGGGATAAGTTTCCAAATAAGGAAAGCAATAAATTATACCGATTTCTGAACTTTTAAACAAAAGGGGAAAGTTTATGTTTGGACATAAGATTTGAGAAGCTTCAAGCGTTGAATATGTTCAAGTTTATCTTTATTCCAAACATAACGATGCAAGAAAAAAGCAAGATCGTTGTTTACTCCTCTTGCATTCAAGAACTCCATGAGTGCACTTTGTAGCGTTTTGTCCAAAACCCTAATAAAGATTTGAAAATATTTAAACCATGTTAAATATTAACCTACTTTAAATGAATTTGTTTATGAAAAACTATCGAAGCGAAAGTAAGATACTATAAATATTAATACCCAATTAAATAAAAGTCAAAGTACATTGCTATTAATAGTTACCTAAAATCACGACCCGTGTAGGGCCGAGTCAACACACCATCAACCCGCATCACATAAAATCTTTGAATCTCCAATTTTTCGGGCCAAGCAGAGCATACGAATTCCAACATCTCACCTCCTTCACCCTTTGATATATCAACTAACAAACTAATGTGAAGTTGGGCATCGGGCTCCGTATTTTCATCTTTTGACATTGTAGCATAACCATCAAACATTGTAGCTTCAATTTTTATATTTTCATCAAGTGTAGATCGCCCTCTCAAAGTAACAAATTGCTCTCCGGGCCTATCTTCCACCATAAACGCGTTGAACTTTTTGTCGGGCTGTATTTAGCAGTGTAATGGACTTAATGGGGACATAACTTTATATGGTAAGTTATATATGAATTTTTCTTTTTTTTACTTAATGTGGAATGAACGACTTAACAGAGAAAGTCAGAAAAAGAGGGTTTCCCACTTTCCCTCGTTATCCACAGTGCATTCAACTCTATAACATTTAAGGAATCGCCACATTAACATTCCACTTTTCATACAGCTTTACCATTTCACTTAGCAAAGTTCATTGGAACATATTATAAAACTTCAATTTTTTTTTTCTAACATTTCAATGGGTATTGAAATGTTGCAAAAAAACCATCTAACAAAAATGGAAAAAAGATAGTGATACTTGCAAAATATAAAATATTGATGGTTAGTTTGCAATGAAAAGCTAGGTATGAGTTCTTGAAAAACGATGCATCAATGGACTTGTACATTATACTGTATGCCGTGACAGTTGTAGATTGATCAGATTTGTAAGCACAAGGAATTTCATATTTGGTTATTCGTCTAGGTTATAATGTTCCAAAAAACGGAAACATTTGGTAGACAATGATCAATAATGTGATGTGTATGTAATTTACCTGATAAGGAGGGTCGTATTCTGATTCGAATTCGATCTCGTTTGTAAGCAGGCTAAGAAGATTTGAATCAAATGGTGATTTGTGTTGGAGAGTTGAAGTGGAATATGGATTCGTAGCAAAATTTGGGGGAAATTTCGATATGGTTTTGTTGGTTTGGAGAAGAAATGGGTTGTTGGTGTTAGGAATTAGGGCTCTAGAGAGCGAGAAAAGGGACCTTCTACAGGTTCGAATGAACCCGGCCATGGTTATTGCAAATTTCCTGAGGAGCAAAAGAAGGTTTTGTAGGGTTTTAACTTTTAAGCATGGAATAGAAACAGTTCCGCGTTTTAGATGTTCATTGGACAATATTAACGTTCTTCAAAAATAAAAGAGTAAATTGCAAAAATGGTCCCTGTGTTTGGCAAAATTATGCGACTTTGGTCCAAAACGATAGTTTGATGCACCACTGGTCCAAAATTGGATTTTTCCATTGTTTTTGGTCCCTCCCATTCACTTCCGTCCATATACTCCGTTACATGCAATAAAGACCGGGGTATTTTCGTCTTTCCACCTCCATATCATCGATTACCGCCATATTGAATGATATACACAGTTAATGACCCTTCACTCTACTCTACGCACTAAACCCAACTTGTTGATCGAAAACCCTAATCGTTCATTGAAATCTTGCATTTGATCATCAACCGCAATCGTAAGTTTGAATCCACGAGGATGGTCCAAATGTGGGAAATCAGGCCAAGAAAGCAGTGTTTTGATGCAATCCGAATTTACGGTAACGTACTCTGTTTCTTACATATTTCTTTGAAACAAAAAAAATCTTTTACAATCCATATAAAGTAATGTTTTTTTGGTTTGGTTCATGATTTTTACAGAAGGATATCCCACGATGTTCACTATTGAGCTCCATCATGGAGGGAGGTTCACAAAATTCCCAGGGATAAGCTACATTGAAGGAAAATTAGACCACATTGACTTGGTAGACATGGATGAGTTCTCTGTGCATGAGTTGGACGAGGTGATGCTGAAGCTTGGTTATGATGTACCACCAGTCATTTACTACCACTATCAATTGCCAAATGGAGATTTGGAGTTTGGTCTTAGAGCTCTAGGGAATGATATTGATGTACTTAGTCTTGCACAGTACATTGAACATCATAAGATCATCAAGGTATACACTGAACATAATGAAACTAAGTTACTTACATACTTTATGTCTCCAAGAGTTAAACCTAGGGTCATAATTGAGGAAATAGCAGATGATGTGCCCACTGCAACTGTTGGTGATCAAGATGTCCCAAATCTTGAATTGTGTTTAGTAAGATATGAGACACCCGAATACAATTCAAATAAGAGATTGAGGTTAGTTGATGGGAGTCAATCATGTAGTAAGAAATTGTGTTTCAACTTGGAACACACTGCAACTGTTGGTGATCAAGATGCACATGTTGAAATTGGTAATGAAGGTGCAAATATTAGTGAGCAAGGTGCAACTGTTAGTGGTCAAGATACACATGTTGAAATTGGTAATGAAGGAGCAAATGTTAGTGATCAAGGTGCAGCTGTTGGTAATCAAGATACAAAAGTTCATGATCAAGGTGCAAATGTTGGTGACCAAGAAGTAAATACAAGAGAGTTTGATACCTTTGATGACCAACCATTTCAATTTGAAGACTTTGATCCTTTCTTTGATCAATATACTTTTAATGATGGTAATGATCAGAGTATGGGTGTTGGTGCAGAACTTGGCACAGGACTAGGGGAAGTTCAATTTGAAAGTGAGGGTGTTTGTGAAGGACTTGGTGAAGGAGGTAGTGAAGGGGGTAGTGAAGGGGGTGGTGAAGGGAGTGAGGAAGACAGTGATTTTCTTGAAGATGAAGAAAACTATGTAAGTGATATTGAGGTGGACATGAGTGATTTCTATATGAATGTTGATCTAGATGTTGAATATGTTGACAGAGGAAAAGGTGTTGAGACTGAAAATGAAGTTGTTGATACAGAAGATGTTGAAGATGTTGAAGTAATTGATAATGATGAATGGGACTTATTAGGTGAAGATAGTGATGATGAAAGAAGGAAAGCAATATTAAAACAGATGGTGAAGGAGAAGAAGTGCTCTCTTGGTGAAGTCCATACAGTTACTTTTCAAGTGGGTCAAAAGTATAAAAGTAAAAAGGAAATTAAGAACAAAGTCAACAAACTTGCCATTGAGACTAGAAGGAATCTTGGCTTCAAGAAAAACGACAAAACAAGGCTTAGGGTTGTGTGTAAAGGTAATGTACCTAATGTAAATGCAAGTGGGGTAGGTAAGGGCAATAAATTAAATTGTTCTTGGTCAATGCAGACTTCACGGTCAAAAGATAGTGATTATTGGTATGTGAAAACTTTACTGGACAAACATACTTGTGTTCAAACTAGAAAACTTAGGGCTTGCACTGCGAAGTATATATCTGCAGAAATCTTAGACATGGTCGAGTCTAACCCTACAGTACCCCTTCGAAGCATTCAAGAGCAAGTTCAGAAGAGGCTTCAAGTTGGTGTGTCCATACACAAAGTACAGAGAGCAAAAGCAACAGCTACAAAGCAAGTGAGTGGTGACTACACAAAGCAATACGAGGTGTTAAGAGATTATCTTATGGAACTACAAGCAACTAATGTGGGTACAACTGTGAAGCTTGAGGTTGTTAATGAGCCTAACAGTACTAGAGAAACAAGGCAGTTTAAAAGGGTGTATATTTGCTTAGGGGCATTAAAGAAAGGGTTTAAAGCAGGTTTAAGAGATATTCTGGGACTAGATGGTGCTTTTATGAAAGGACCCTTTCCAGGCCAAGTACTCACAGCAGTTGGATTGGATTCAAACAACGGCATATACCCACTTGCATATGCCATTGTTGAGACTGAAAATATGAGTAGCTGGAAATGGTTTCTAGAATGCTTGGGAGATGACTTAGAGTTGTGCTCAAATTCTAACTTTACTTTCATGAGTGATAGACAAAAGGTACTATTTTCTTCTTTTTGTATTACTAATAGTTTATTTGTATATGATTGTTGCAATGATTATGTGAAATAATCCTTTACAGGGACTCTTACCTGCTATAGCACAACTATACCCACAGGCTGAGCATCGATTCTGTCTAAGACATATTTATGAGAACATGAGGAAAAAATGGAAAACAAAAGAGTATAAAGATCACTTATGGCAGTGTGCAATAGCAACCACAGTACCAGAATTTGAACACTACATGAATGAACTTAACAAGTTTGATAAGGATGCTTTTGAGTGGTTGAAGAAAATCCCCCTCACCATTGGGCCAGAAGCCACTTTTCAGGTTACATTCCCTAACTTAGGTGAAGCTTTACTAGTGCTCATTGTATATGGTTTAGTTCATATAATTTTCTTGTTTAATACAGGCAGAGCAGGATCAGATATATTGCTCAACAATTTATGTGAGGTTTTCAACAGTAAGCTTATTCATGGTAGGAATAAGCCCATCATAAGTTGTCTTGAGTACATCAGGCAGTACCTTATGAAGAGGATTTGCAATGTGAAGAAAGTGATGTCCAAAGCTCCAGGTCCACTCACTCCAACAGCATCAAAGTTACTTGAGAGAAATAGGGAAGCTTCAGTCCAATATAGAGCTAGATGGAATGGGACTGCAAAGTATGAAGTTTATGGTCCTTGGCATGACCAGCATGTGGTTGACATGAAAAATATGTCATGTACATGTAGAAGGTGGGAATTGAATGGGATTCCATGCAGGCATGCCATAGCTACAATACATGAAATGGCTGATAGTGGAGACAAAGTTGGGGAGCTTTACACTTATGTTAACAAAGTGTATTGGCTTCAAACATGGAATGAAGCTTACTCTTACACTGTGGACCCTATAAAGGGTAGAGCCATGTGGCCAAAAAGTACCTGTCCATTTCAATTAACACCACCACCACATCACAATCAACCTGGGAGACCTAACACCAAGAGAAAGAGAAGTGCAGATGAAAAATATGATAAACAGATGCAAAATCATGGTGCAGGTGAACCTGAAAAACTTACCAGAAAGTTTGTTAGTGTTAGGTGTGGGAAATGCAACAATAGGGGTCATAACTCAAGGACGTGCAAGGGTCAAGGTGGGAATGCAGGAAGAAATGAAGGAGGGAATGCAGGAAGCAGTCAAGGAGGGAATGCATGATGCAGTCAAGGAGGGAATGGAGGTAGCAGTCAATGCAGGAATTAGTGTATTTTGTTTAAAAACTTATCTTTTGGTTTAGCACAACTTTTGTGCATTTGGATGTAATGGTTTAAAACTAGTTTGTTGTAATGGTTTTATTTTGGTCTTTTAGCCCTTTTGGTCATGAAACTAATGTCAACCTTTTGTCATTGTTGAAGAATGATGTTTATGGTTTATACCAACTGTTGGTTGTCATGTTTATGGAACACATTTTTGGTTATAAGAACTGTTTTCTGAAACAACAAATATACATTAACATTCGGTGATAACTGCAATACATTGTCATTATATCCTTGAAAAGGTTACAAATTTCTGAAGTTGTCCAAAATAACCCTAAACTGATATTACATTATCAAATACCAAAAACTACCACATTCCCTAGTTACAATTTCATAAGACAAAAAACACCCAAAAATTACATGCAACTACAGGGGTCCCTAATTGCTTATTACTAAATGAAAAGCACCCAAACCACCACAAATAGTAACCAACTTGCAAACAAACACATCTTCAATCTTGCCACTTGATAGTTTACATTGTTGATATTCCTCAATAATCCGGGTATTATCAACATAGATCGTGCACACATGGGAGGATCAATCCATCCTAAGAATCGGCATCTGGAACCCTTCACATAAAAAAATAAACCCTAAACATGAGGGTGATTTTCCAAAATGAGGGTAAAATAGCAAAATCGAACACTTACCTTTTGAGGGCAGGAAAGAAACCTCCGACCAGGGTTTGCTGATGTCCAGGAGGTGCGAACCACCGCTTCCCTACCACAGAAACACATCACCATTTTAATTTTTGATCTCTAAGAAATTGTGAACACAGAGTAGGAAGAGTATGAAGCTCGTGAAGTTGAAGAAGGAAGAGTGATGTAGCTCTGCTTTTATTTTGAATAAGGTTGCAAAAAAGGTCCCTGTATGTGGAAAGACGAAAATACCCCGGTCTTTATTGCATGTAACGGAGTATATGGACGGAAGTGAATGGGAGGGACCAAAAACAATGGAAAAATCCAATTTTGGACCAGTGGTGCATCAAACTATCGTTTTGGACCAAAGTCGCATAATTTTGCCAAACACAGGGACCATTTTTGCAATTTTACTC